TAACTCAAGGTGGCAAGCATGCCTGTAATGCATCCTATTTTCCCCACAACAACAACATTGTGCGGTGGGCTGGCCTGAGAAGAGAGTGGCTGTCACCCAGCTGGCTTGCATGCCTAAGGCGGGACTAGAACTCACCGTATCCTAGAGATCAGCCCAAAGTCAGCCAGTTTCATGCGTAAGGTAGAAATAGAATTCACTGTTTCCTGGCTCTTGAAAGCCAGTCACTGAGCTGGCTTTCACACCTAAGGCGGGACTAGAACTCACCGTATCCTAGAGATCAGCCCAAAGTCAGCCAGTTTCATGCGTAAGGTAGAAATAGAATTCACTGTTTCCTGGCTCTTGAAAGCCAGTCACTGAGCTGGCTTTCACACCTAAGGCGGGACTAGAACTCACCATCTCCTAGTGATTGGCCCAAAGTCACCCAGCAAGCTTTTATGCCTAACGTGGGACTAGAACTCACCATCTCTTGGTGATTGTCCCAAAGTCACCCAGTTGGCTTTCACACCTAAGATGGGACTAGAACTACTATCTCCTAGTGATTGGCCCAAAGTCACCCAGCAAGCGTTTATGTGTAATGTGGGACTAGAATTCATCGTCTCTTGGTGATTGTCTCAAAGTCACCCAGTTGGCTTTCACACCTAAGGTGGGACTAGAACTCACTGTCTCCTAGTGATTGGCCCAAAGTCACCCAGCAAGCTTTTATGCCTAACGTGGGACTAGAACTCACCATCTCTTGGTGATTGTCCCAAAGTCACCCAGTTGGCTTTCACACCTAAGGCAGGACTAGAACTCACCGTCTCCTGGTGATTGGCCCAAAGTCACCCAGCAAGCTTTTATGCCTAACGTGGGACTAGAACTCACCATCTCTTGGTGATTGGCTTAAAGTCACCCAGTTGGCTTTCACACCTAAGGCAGGACTAGAACTCACCGTCTCCTGGTGATTAGCCCAAAGTCACCCAGCAGGCTTTCATGCCTAATGCATGACTAGAACTCACCATCACCTGGTTTCTAACCTATTTCCTGATAATTATATTCTTCCTGTTTCTTGGATTTCATGATTTTTTTTTCTGCAGGACTTACCGTACTGGGGGAGAACAGGTTACCCTCTCAATGGCCTTTTCTTAATATTTTGTTTTCAGGAGAAGTTAGCTTACCACCAGAACAGCAGCCAAGCACTTCCCCCTGGACTTTATCTGGGTTACCTAAAGCTCTGCAGCGCAGTTGACCAGATCCGAGTGTTGGTGCCTGAACAATTGCCTAACATCTTGTGTCATGTGAAAATACGGAGTAATTCCAACATATCTAGGTAGGATTTTCGAATGAGAATGGATCTATCATTACTGGAAACCCTTGCAAATTGCAGTTCTACATCTAGCTAGATCATCTAGACAGAGCTGAGATTTTTATGCAGGTTCATCTCCTGATTTTTTTAAAAAAATTGCAAATGGAGGAGAGAGACCTAACAAAAGTTGTTCTGACTGAGGCTTCCCAAGAGCATGAAATAAAGTCCGTGTCCCGGTAAAAACCTTTTTATTAATTTACAGCGAATTCTGCTCATTCACAACCAGCAAAGTCTTTCAAAGGAGGATATACAGTCACAGACCTTATCTGGCTTGGAGAGCTGGCAGGCCAATATCAGGAGTCCCGAAGAATCAATAACCAATTAGCAAACTGATTGTCTCCTGCATACTTGACTCCCCTTTCGTTCCTCTTTTCTTCCCTATGGGAGGGGCCATTTATCATCCACCTGTGGCCTTACTCCCAAGTCAACCCCTATTCTTTAGCTGTTCCCTTCATACACAGAACTGCCGAATGGAAGGGGGCTTTTGCAGGAAACAAATCGTTCCTTTGGTCATTTCAAGAGTGAAAAATTCTGCTTGTGACTATAAGAGAATGTGTGCCAAGTGTTGCTTTGCCCTGCATTTGGAAACTAGTTATCTGGCAGCTCTCCAAGTGAGATAAGGTTCGTGTTGATAAATATTCCTCTAAAAGACTGTTTGCCAAGCCTTGCTGACTGTGAATGAAACAAATTCACAGTTGTGTAAATAAAAGAGGTTTTGCCAGGACCCAGACTCTGTTTCATGCTTGTTAAGGAAGCCTAGGTCAGAACAACAGTACTGCACTCTAACCACTGTGCCACTGTGGCTCAGAATATCAATTGCACTAGTTAATCAAAAGGTTAGTCTGCATGAAGCATGAAAATACCCACACTAGAAAGCCCATGGTTTGTATCAAGTTGTTGTTGTGGCCCAGCAGGAGCCGTTGGAGCTGCCACCAGACTCCGATAGCGAGGGGCCCTATGAGTCGGCTGTGGA